GACATTAAAATAGATTTGAATAAACAAGTTTATTTATGTTTTTCATGCTCTGTGAAAATTGAAAAAGGGTATTTGAACAGCCAATAATTAATTCAACAATAAATGTTTGTCTGAAGTTTTATAGCAAAGTTAACATCTGGTAAACACGCCGAACGAGGAGTCAAATCACAACACTCAGAGAATGTAATCTTGAAGAAATAAACTAGTAATGGTAATAAAATATAAGATGTTTTAGGGAGTGAAGATTTCATTTTATTGATTTATCAAGAGATAAACTTTAGAAAAGTCTTTCCTCTTAGACTATAGATTTCTGTTCTGTAAATACCTCATTTGAAATTACTGTTTAATAAGTTTGATATGTATGCTGGTCATTATTATGATACCACCACGTGCACTGATTATAAGTTTCCTTCTTTTGTGATATTTATAGACAGAAAAGACTAACAAATTATCTGTAACGTAAATTGTTAAAAACTCAGAAGATCAGTTTAATTTTTTCACATTTTTTAATTAGATTTTTGTTGTTTTAGATGAGTTTTAGTTAGAGTAAACTGAACTTGATGTGAAAATTTTAAGGACTACAATTGCGCGGAGTGAAGTGTGAACAGCGATCCAGTCTCTGTATTGAGGCTCAGTTGTCGTCCATTCTCAAACTATCCAGTTTATAAAAACTTAAAATCCATATTTTACAATTTCCAACGTTTCTGTGTATCTAAGCATTAAAACACGCATTTATTTTCTTTTCATTCCGATATTGTTAACAACTATAAAACTAATACGCTAAATATTAACATCAAATATCCTGACACTGTATATTTATCATCAGAATGTTCAATTAATTAATATACGAAGAACCCCGAGGTTTTGGGTCTCACACTCCTGTGTAAATGTGTATGGTATTGAGATAATTTTCTCCGAGTAAATGGAATGGGCATTCGTCATGATATTTATTCTTGGAGACAAGTTATCAGTTTCTTAAAGTCCTTTTTCACATTTTTTTTTTTGATTTATTATCATGTGCATGAAGGCTTTTGAAAAGCGTTTATCAAATGTTTGTACAGTCCTGACAGGGAATGTTACATAAAAGAGGCCGACCATGCAATATCGGGTTTCTCTAATTGATGTTGTCAAGACTACGAGGTTACAATAACATTTAGTGTCCTCCTAGTGTAAGATCTTGGTGTCTTATTTCAACGTAATATTCTCATTCCACGCGTGCATGAATACACGTTCACCCAACATAAATGCATATTGCCATGCGTGTTGATGACATACAATGCTATAGATCACGTGTTTACTGTTGGAGTTAAAGTAAAAAATGAAATATGACAAGCTAAGAGACACCAGTTTGTCAACTAATATTTTTTTCCTTTATTAAAATTTAAAACAATAAAATGGCAGTAAAGCTTTACCATATTTGCATAATTAACTGAAAATTGTCACTTTTTATGTATATAGATAGATATTATATCTTGTAAAGTTCCGTGTAAAAAAATGCGTGTGCGTATACACATAAACAGTCTATAGAGTTGCAGAAACAAAATTTACCAACTCAATAGTTCGTTGAGATAAGGCGATTAGAAGTTGGAATTTTTGAAGCGAGTAAAAAATGTGATTACAGATAACACTACTATGAAGTGGAAGTTCATCAAGTTCTGTAGAAGGTAAAATGGTAAATAAAGGTAATTCTAAAATGAAATCAAGACATCTTTCTTTTGATATGTTAGCAAGAAATAGAAATTTGAGTGAGAGATTCAGAAAACTCCAAGTGACTCTAGTCTGCTTGTACTGATTAGAATAAAACAGGATCCTGCTTTGATAACATGTCGTGCAAATGAATAATATGAACAGCAATTAAAACGATAAGTAGGTCCAAATAATTATAACTGGAAATTATTGTTATAATTAAATTGTTTCTTTGTTTCTCAAGTTACTCTTTATTGTTTTTATTTAAACAAATATTTATTCAATTATATATCTGTTATTGTAGCTTAGGTTTTGAAGTTTTTTATGACTAATTCTTACTCAATTTCCCCGAATAGTAACTTAACTTTCTGCATCATCATTTATTTCTTTACTCTTACAAGAAACAAACTCATTTGGGAAATTGCTGAACACTGTAACTTATTTTGTTTTCTGCAAGTTTAGGCTTAAATACTTTATCTGTTACTATAAATAGAAAATAATTGTAAACTGAAATTTATCCTATTTTTGTAGGTTAACATTCTGCTACACTGTGTACTTGTGCTACTATGTAGGGATGATGCAAATACCATCCCTACTATATTGCTTGCAATGTTTTTGAAGGACTGATGTTAGTCATCTCGACATTTACTTCCTTTTTTGAAAAGTTGTTTTTTACTTGTTTGTTTATTTTTAATGCAATGTTTCAATAAACATAGGAAGGTTGTATTTAGAACTTGGTTCTAAATACAATGAGGCTCGAACTGTAATATTTATTGTTTATTTATTATTGTCTAGTAATTTCTCTTTCACCGTGTACTTAAGCTTTTTAAAGGAACATCAAATTTCTGTAAGAAAGCTGCCTTCAAGGTGTAATGACAACATCGTTTGCACTAGAATTATGATTTTTTTTTAAATTGCTACTAGTTTGAAACTATGTCACCTCAGTGAAACTGTTTGACATATTTTTTGGTTTTTAAGTTATCGTGTAATAAAATAGAAGCAGAAGAAAGAAGAATAGGAAATTCAAACTTTTTGCTATGATATTTACAGACATTCCCAGAACTTGTGATTCAGTCATTACACAGACATTGTTATAAAAGGAAGCACTGTATAGTATTGTAAAGTTCTGAAGACCTATTGAGGATATATTTAAAATACCGCTTCGATGAACAATCCCAGCCATCTCTACATAGGCAAGTGCTACTGCCTGCCTGATATCTATTAAACACAATACACAATATTGATTTTAACGAATCTAAAGAGATAGAGATTTTATTCAGTTTGACAACTTTTTTGAAAAGCGTTCGAAATGTAGTTATTCGTGAGATGCCTGGTGGTGGTTAGGGAACTTGACTCGCAATCTGCAGGTGGCAAGTTCGAATTCCATCACCGAATATGTTTGCCCTTTCAGCCGTGGGTGGGCGTTATTATGGTACGATGAATCCCACTTTTCAATGGTTTTATTTTGTTTGTAATTATACACAAAACTACACGATGGGCTATCTGTGCTCTGCCCACCACGGGTATCAAAACCCGGATTCTAGCGTTGTAAGTCCGCAGACATACCGCTGTGCCATTGGGAGGCTTTTCAATGGTAGAAAGTAGCTCAAGAGCTGGCGGTAGATGGTGTTGACTAAAAGCCTTTTCTCCAGTCTATCTCTTCAAAATTAGGGACGGTTAGCACAGATAGACTGAAATTCGACAAAAAACAAAACAAAGTTGCTGTCTACGTCTAACCCAAAGTAATGGATTATAATATTTATCTAACATCCACCTTTAAGTATCTAGGTTAGAGAGTCTACGTTCATAAAAGAAAAAGAAAGAAAGAAAGAAAAATTTGAGGGGTTTCGGATATTCGCGCAAAGCTTCTCAAGGGTATATCTGAGCTGATTGATTAGAGGGAAGGCAGTTAGTCAAACAGCACCAATCGTCAACTCTTGAACTACTCATGTGTGACCGAACATTGAGAGTGGACTGTCATTTCTATAACGCATTCACAGCCTCAAAGTGTTGAGCGCGATTTTTTCAGCAATGGGACACGATCATTGAACCCGCAAATTCACAGTCCCACCTGCTAACAAGTCGTCCACCCTCTGCTCAGAAGGAAATAGAAAGACAAATAGAACATAGACAAGAAATGAAAAAAAAAAAGACCCAAATTCGAGATTTTTTTTTTTTTCAGATAAAAGTAAAGATAAGACAGAGTTTGGTAACAGCGGTAGAAACTGCGCAAACATATTTCTAACTTGTTGTATCCACTTTCCATACATAGACCATACTTTAGATATAGCTGCCGCTAGGTCAACAAACTAGGCTTACAAGATAGTGTAACAACGTCTGTCAAGCAACTGAAAGATCCAATCTCAATAAATTATATCTATTTACGCCATATCTATAGATCGTGGACAAACATACATATGTCAGGATATCAAATGATAAAAGTGGAAATTATTAAATCATGAAGAATTCACACTTATATCGTGTTCATTTTAATCTATGTTAATATATAATTTGAAAAACTGTTTGGTTTGAATAAACAGATGCTACACGAATGTCAGCACAAACGATTATAATATTATTGAAAATAACAGCTTCAAACATAAGGAGAAACAGGAAAAGCTCAAATTTAAAGCACTATATAATTTTTTACATGCATTGAATTAGATATCGTTATATATATTTGAGTAAGTGGGCAGTTTGATAAAGTACTTTCAATAATGTTCATTTGCAAAAACTTATCTTGATAATGTTTTTCATAAGTCAGAAAGGGGCACAGTTTCTAACAAAATAAATACTTGTTCAATCAGATTTATTTGCTAGCATTAATTTTTAGTTTTTTTATAATTTAGAAATGGGCACGACTTACAAATACTTGTAGAAAAGCTAAAAAAAAGCACAGAACTTGGAAGAATGATAAAACAACAACATTACAGTTAGTTAAAAGTGCTTTGGAAAGTAGCAGGATGTTGCCAAATTAACTCTATGAGCGTTGCACCTCTTTCATTGTCTGAAATTCCATTATTTAGTGTTATCTAATTAATTTATTTTCTCACATATTTAATATTTTGTTAACAAAAGAAGTGTTTGGAATGGGCTGATCATTAAAATATAAAAAACAATTAACGTTGTTCATGTTATTTAGAAAAACAACAGAATATTTTTAATATTAATTCGACTACTTGAAAATCCAACATGTTATGCCTTTTATATGCACTAGATGGCACTATTTTGTAACAAACTGCTTAGTGTAACAGCGAGGTGGATACTATGATATTTCTCCGCCTTCTTCGAGGCACGTGATACTAGACGGGGTTCAACAACAATGGCGGGGATAATCCAGCAGAGAAGACGCTCAATAGTATCCTAGTGTCTAAAGTTCATCTGTTGGTGAGAAGTTCTAGCATCTTTGAAACAAAATCGTCCTCTGTACAAAAAGACAAGACAAAAACGTAAGTAATAATTACAAAGATAACGTCTGGTGTCGGAAAACAACCACACTCCATTTTGTAGACGTGGGTAAAAATTGTAAATGAATGGTTCATACCACGCTCAAAGCGTGAGGTGCACACGACCTCTATAAGAGTCAGGCACGTGTAAGTAACCACGAAACTCCAAACGCACTCATGCATATTCTGTTAAAGATAATTTCTGAATACCCATATACACCCATAGCTCACGAAACATGCATTATGATACGTATTGATGTTATGCTCGTTTACAAATAAGGGTATTTGTAATGCCAGCCTTAACATCTAATACAGTTCGCAGAGAAATCAAATAACAGAGTTGTGTCTCAGTCTCTGTAATCTTTCAAGATAGAAGTATTTCAAATTGTAATATCTGCCATCAATTACATTATATCAAAGTAATCTCTGATCATCAAACTACTTTGATAGATATATATGGAATAAGTGGGTTTTTTGGATAAGTCTAATATGATGGTAAAGCTAATATGTGCTGTTTATTTATATTACTAGCGTATAGTCCGTCAAAAATGACGGGGAAGTACTACCACCCCCACCCCAAAGTATGCTCTAACCTCACATATCATAGCTAACTGAAATAAATAACTTTTGCGAAATCAAGCTTGATCAACAAAGAGCCAGAAAAGTGCAGTCAAATTTCGGTAAATTCCTTTATGAGCCAATCAGAATTAGGATCATTCATGAAATGAATTCGTGGCGTATTCATAGAATAACTATTGGTAGAAATCTGTTAGATTAACAACTTCTAATATACAGAAAAGCCAGTTCGTTTTAGTAACACTACGTTCCAAAACAGCTTGTATGTCATGTCGCTTAGCAACAAAAGTATAACCTAATATTGTTGTTAGTCTATGTACTGAAAGTATAAAATGAAATGTATAGACAACAAAATTTGAAAATATTTATCGATTTCTTAATTGTCTCCGTTGATTAAAGAAGTTTGTTTTTTATTAAAAACTTTGATGATATAAGAAAAAATAGCTT